GATGGTGTATTGAAAATGTGGGATCTGAGCATGACATGAATGGTATGGAATAAGGGGTGGATAATGTCCTGGGTTCAGCAGTAGCAGTCATGTTTCTCCTTTGTGGTAGCTGGTGCAGTGCTGTGTTTTGACTTCCAGCCTGGGAACAGTGCTGGTGATACCGATGTTTTCGGTTGTTGCTAAGTGATGTTTACCCTGACCAAGGACTTTGTGAGGCTCATGCTCTGCCAGGGAGGAGGGGAAGCTGTGAGGAAGCAGAGACGGGGCGCCTGACCCAGGCTAGCCAAAGAGGTATTCCGTACCAGAGCACGTCATGCCCGGGGTGGGGGGTAACTGGGAATTACCCGAAAGGACACGGGCTTCCGGGTGGGACTCGTTTCTTGGCCGGTGGTATTGTATTCTCTTCCCTTGTTATTTTCTCTTATCACTGTTGTCGTTGGTAGTAGCAGTGGTGATTTGTGTTGTACATTGGTTGCTGGACTGTTCTTGTCTCAACCATGGGAGTTGCACTTGTTCGATCCTCCTCCCCATTCCTCACAGGATCAGGGAAGGGGAGAGCCCGGGGCGGGGGGAGGGCCTCGATTGCTGTCAGCCCGGCACCACTTGCTGGGAGTGAGTGAACAAGCTGTCTGGCTAGGGCTTAAACCACGACACTGACGAATTTGTTGGCCTTCTATGATGGAGCTGCAAAACTGATGGATAGGGATAGAGCAGTTGATGTCATCTACCTGGACTTGTGCAAAGTGTTTGGCACTGTCCTGCATGACATCCTTGTTTCTAAACTGGAGAGAAATCAATTTGATGGATGAACCACATGGTGGATAAAGAATTGGCTGGATGGCCGCACACAGTTGTCAATGGCTCAATATCCAAGCAGAGATGGGTAATGAGTGGTGTCCCTCAGGGATTGGTGTTGGGACCGGTCTTGTTGAACATCTTTGGTGACATGGACAGTCGGATTGAGTGTGCCCTCAGCAAGTTTGCTGATGACACCAAGCTGTGTGGTTCGGTTGATACGCTGGAGGGAAGGAATGCCATCCAGAGGGACCTTGACACGCTTGTGAGGTGGGCTGATGCCAACCTCATGAAGTTTAACCATGCCAAGTGCAAGGTCCTACACCCGGGTTGGAGCAATCCTAGGCACAGCTACAGGTTGGGCAGAGAAGAGATTCAGAGCAGCCCTGTGGAGAAGGACTTGGGGGTGTTGGTTGATGAGAAAATGAACATGAGCCAGCTTCAGTGTGCACTTGCAGCCCAGAAAGCCAACCGTATCCTGGGCTGCATCAAGAGGAGAGTGACCAGCAGGTTGAAGGTGATCCAGCCCCTCTACTCTGCTCTTGTGAGACCTCACTTGGAGTATTGTGTGCAGTTCTGGTGTCCTCAACATAAAAAGGACATGGAACTGTTGGAACAAGTCCAGAGGAGGAGCATGAGGATGATCAGGGGACTGGAGCACCTCCTGTATGAAGATAGGCTGAGAAGGTTGGGGCTGCTCAGCCTGGAGAAGAGAAGGCTGCATGGAGACCTCATAGCAGCCTTCCAGTATCTGAAGGGGGCTATAGGGATGCTGGGGAGGGACTCTGCATCAGGGACTGTAGAGATAGGACAAGGGGTAATGGGTTTAAACTCACACAGGGGAAGTTCAGTTTGGATATAAGGAAGTAGTTCTTTACTGTGAGGGTAGTGAGGCTCTGGAACAGGTTGCTCGAAGACACGGTAAATGCTCCATTCCTGGCAGTGTTCAAGGCCAGGTTGGACAGAGCCTTGGGTGACATGGTTTAGTGTGAGATGTCCCTGCCCATAGCAGGGAGTTGGAACTAGATGATCTTGAGGTCCTTTCCAACCCTAACTATTCTATGATTCTATGAAATTTAGTTTCAGTTCTCTAACAGGTAGCCTAAAATGTATGCCTATTGTATTATAACTTTGGCACATGTTTTTCAAGTATATGTGATATGACAGCAACTACAGGTGAAGCCATACTGGCTCTTTTTCGTGAAGTGTGTCAGGCCTTTTAGGCCTACATTGTCAGTGACCTTTCTCTAGCCATGGCTTCATGCATAAAAGCATAAGAAATGCCTTATTGTGCACCTATGGCCTAACTGGACTGGTATTTCTGTCTCAGACAGTAACAGCAGGCAATGCTGGATGGGAAAGGGACATGGTCCTGATCATTTCATGTTGTGCATTCTCCTCATTCCTTCCCAGTGTCCACAGTCATTGGATTAGGATCATAAGGAGGTACACTTGTGCCCATTCCCTTACCTGTTTTGGAACTGTTGTCCATACATTAATCATCTTTGCATAGCATGCTCTTTTCATCTAGCCTGCTGATATTATTGGTCTCTTCAGTCCTACATGACCAGAAAATCACTACTTGCTGTGTTTGTAAAGGAAAGTTACTGCTTTTTTCTGTTTCAAACCTTGCACATACTTTGAGTGCGTGCCCAAACCTGTAGTATTGCAAGGTTTGGTGAGTAACAGTTCTGCTCCCACTTTCTCCACTGCCTTTGTGATTTCGTAGTTCTTAATTGTATCTCACCTACCCTGCCTGTCTCCAAATTAAGGAGAGAAATCTCTTCTTCTAATGCAGCTGCTCCATCCCCTCAATTCCTGTTGTACAATTCATGTGCTTGCATGAAACACCAGTGCTTAAATGTGGATACAAATCAGTCCCTCACTAGCTGCATTTCCCAGCTGTCTGTCACAAGGCAGAGTTGGCTGCCCAGTTAAAGCAGCCATAGCGATCACAGCATAACTTTTTCTTTTTTTTTTTTTTTTTTTTTAGCACCTTCTATTTGACCCTTTTTAAAGCTGTAGCAAGCAGATTCCAAGAACACTTGTGGGTTGAGCTGCAGCAGCTCTCTGTATTTGTGGATGGAGACTGGCCAAGTCACAGCCATCCCCTGAAACCAGCTGTTACAAAGGGCCAGATCCTCACTAGTTACATGTGCAGTTTCTGGTCATTTGGGTTACGGTGCTGTTCAGTCAACCTGTGCTTTTTGTGCTGATTGTTGCTTGTCTCAGTGCTGAATGTGTAGAGTCATTTCTTATTTCTTGGTAGTTAGTGTCCTTGCTGTATGTGACAGCATATACAGGGTGAGAATGTGGCCAGCTGCAGGGCAGATAGAAGTAGCAGCCACACTGATTTAGGCCATGGCAGTGATGCACTCCATCTTGAGAAGAGGATCTTTAGAGGAATTTGGTGCTGCAGGGAGCATATATTGTATCACCTGTCTCTAAAAAGGGTGGAGGCCCCCTTCAAGTTGTGTGGTTATCATAAAATTGTCTCTTATATGTTACTCTTCTTGACTTCTGGAAGCTTACTATAGGTTAAGTTGTCTTGGTTTATTAAAAATAATGCAGAGACTCTTTTTAATCCTAAATTGATGAGTTATTTCTTTCACAGATAACTGAGTAGCTCTTCTTGAGACCCATATTGAACAAAGATCCCTTTCCCAGTTTTAAGTCCTGTAACTGATTTAACAGGATAATGAAGGGAAGGCTAAAATGTTAAATTTTAATATATTGGTAAGAATTAAAGGGTGTAAAATAAAACATAAATAATACTTGATCTAACTAAACATGTATGACTGTAGTGTCTGGTAAGCAGAAGACAGTGAGCAGAAAATTTGCTATATTTTGTCTGTTTTAGAAAAGTAAAGACTTAAAAAATGGAGTGAGAGCAAGTGTTGTTTTTGGCTATTAATAAAAATCACTGAATGTGCCCATATACTCTGAGCACTGATTTTGGCATATTCGTGTGGGAATAGTGTGAGTTACCACAGTTTTGTGTTGCAGTGCCCCAAATTGTGTAAGGTATGTGCCCCATTTTCTCTTGCAGGTTCTATACACAGAATGCTATGAAACCTGCAGCACTTTCTCAATACATTCTGTATTAGAGTGTCTTTCTCTCTCTTAATAAGAATGATACTTCCCACAGTTGATCTTCCATGTCTCTAGCTGCTGCATTTTCATTGCCAAGAATGTAACCTTGTTCATCCTTTGCATCAAATGGTGTCCTGAAAACTTCATAGGTCAAACTGAGTAATGACTGTATACCAGAATAAACTCTCACAGGCACCTAGTGAAGAACAAACACATACATGGTTGGTCCACTCTTGATGTCTCATCTCTTGTTCTCAAAACACTTTCTACAGACAATCTGAGGAACTAAAATTGTCACCATAAATAATGGACTCAGCAGAGATACTGTTTTTATGGTGAATTATAATCTTTTTTCCCACTGTCGTGGTTTAAGCCCAGTCAGCAACTCAGCCATGCAGCCCTCGCTCACTCCCCCCCTTCCTCCCCCTGCTCCTGGATGGATGGGGAGGAGAATCGAAAGAATGTAACTCCCACGGGTTGAGATAAGAGCAGTCCAGTAACTAAGGTATAACACAGACCACTACTGCTACCACCAATAATAATAATGATGAGGGAAATAACAAGGGAAGAGAATACAACCGCTCAGCACCTGCCGACTGATACCCAGCCCGACTGAGCAGTGATCTATCCCTTCTGGACAACTCCCCCAGTTGCTGTGGTATGGAATACCTCTTTGGCCAGTTTGGGTCAGGTGTCCTGCTCTGCTTCCTCCCAGCATCCCCTCCTCCCTGGCAGAGCATGAGACTCAGAAAGTCCTTGGTCAGACTAAACATTACTGGGCAACAACTAAAAACATCCATGTTATCAGTGCTATTCCCAGTCTGAAAGTCAAAACCACAGCACTGCACCAGCTACTAAGAAGGAGAAAAATTACTGCTACTGCTGAACGCACGACACACACTCTTACTGTTTCACACTAGAAATTATCTATCTCTTTTTGTGTAAAAAAAGCACACAACATTCTCCTTCACAGGTACCAGCTGCTTTTTCTCCTGGATGCTTTACCAGTGCCTATCTAAGTAAGCACAGAGATTTTGTTCTCAATATGTACTCAGGAAGTGTTCCTGTTCTTGAAAGCTTTTTTTTTTTCCCAATCATCATATTTAGGCTAATAAAAACGACTTTACACTGCTTTACAAACTCCTTTTACCATAATTTGCTGCTACAGCAATGCTAATGCTGGAAGGAAAAAAAGGTGACTCAGGGCAACTGCTCCCTCTGCTGAGTAATCCTCCTGCCAGAAGCTCTGCACTTGCAGTATTCATTCAACTCTGCTTTCCCTGCAACACAGTTATGTTGTTGACTCTTGCTTCCTTGTGCATAGTAAAAATTTTGAGAACCCCCCAGTCTCTGGGCTTTCAACAACAAAACACTGATTTCTTGGTCACACCAGTGAAAAAGAATAACATTTTAGTATTTATAAATATTAGCATGGAATTTGAAATTTCTTATAGTTATTTTGTTACAAAAGTGGTTTGAGTTTTCTGCATTTTGGTTTATAATAGCTGTGCTTGATGGAAAAAGGAAAAGTGAAAATGAAGGAAAAGGAAAAGATCAGTTAGTGAAAATACTAACCCATGTCCCTGAGAATGTTGTTTTCTTTTAGATTTACAGTGGTAAAATAACTTGTCAAGGTAGCTGAAAGGCTATTTTTACTCTATTTGAAAACTACAGTCTGATTTAAAGATTCTTTTATTGTTGTATCTGCCTCTTTCTGTTTCTGAATAACACCATTAGTGCCAGGCCTCCAGCTGGACTTTGTGCCATTGATCACAACCCTTTGAGCCTGACAGTTCAGCAAGTATTCAGTGCACCTCACAGTCCATTTATCTAGCCCATGCTTCATCAGATTCTGAGGCATTTTGAAGACTTGGTAAACACATGCCAATAGGAAAGTGAATCCTTGTTCTTGTAAGATCTATAATGTGTGTATTGTATATTATAGATCTTACAAAGTGTTTCTGCTGAATTAGTTTGATTTTCAGTTTGCAGAGGAATTCACAACTCCTGCTTTGCTATTTCTGCATGGATGAGGGCAGTGTCAGGTTTATTTTCTTATGAAGAGGAAAGTGATCCCTATTCCTTGCATAGCTGATTCAGTGAGTATTAATTCTACTGTTATATAAATTATTTGTACTTTGGGTAGCTAGGCCATCTCTAGAAATCTGTATAAACAGTATTAATAGATCAATTTTGTGAGGATTTTTTCTCTACCTGTGAAAAACTTTTTTTGAACAGTTGCCCTTTCTGCCAGGATAGATCATGAGTTCATTCATGTGAGTGAACTCATATTACTGTATCACCCTGGTACAGTAGGGGCAGAGAGTTTTGCACATGCTCTTTCTGCAGAATGAATAGCACAAACTGAATTAGTTCAAGGTCCTGAACCTTTCTGAAGGTTCTCTCTTGGTGTCCTAATCTCTGTCTGGCGGAATTAAGAGCTGTTTCTGTGACCGGTATAACTAAGCAACAGTTAGATCTCAAAGAACCAGCTCATCCAGAATGTGTGTGGACTGTCCACACAGTTTGATGTTTTCCAAATGAATTTTTTATCATTTGCCCTGGTCCAGTCGATGAGATCATGCAGGTTGTCTCCAAAAGCCCTCACTGCTGCTTGTTAAGAGATTCTGAGGATTAAGTACACTGAATTGAGGTTTTCCATCTCCTTATCAGGGCTAGACGTGTGAAGTGTCTGGGCTTGAATTGACGCCTCAGGTCCACTTAACCCTTCTTTGTAGTTAGCAAAGTATTTGCCTGCCTTTGAGTGGTGCCCAACAAAACCAGGACCAGAAAGAACACCTTTCTGCCTGTTGTAAGTGCATTTCTTTGTCTCCAGGCTCTCCTCCCCCCCTTTTACATACTAATCTTAATCCTGAAGTTTTAGTCCTTTATGAACTTCATTATAAAACTACTTTATTCTTGAAATTATTTGTATTACAGTTGTGATTGTTTTAATTATGGAAAGCAGTGGACTAAGAGAAAATTGTGAGATTATAAGTGGTGGCCTAAAGCCAGAGAAGGAACTTTTCACTGGGAAGATTTGTACTGAAGGTTTCTATCACTTGTGACCAAGAATTGGTTTAGGAAAAAGTTAGGGTGAGTGGAATACTGAAGAAAATAAGGGAATTTGGGAAGGATTAGTAGTTTTCTTGTCAAAAGAGAGCTGAGAAATATGCAGCCTTAACTTTCTAATCCTCCATATCAAGAAAAGAAAAATTTACTAATTTTTTCCAGGGAAAATATAAACAGGACTATCCTGATTCTGCCCCCAGAATCAAACAACTTATCTTTATGTTTCAGTTTCTTCTCTGCAGTATGAGGATAGAGATATTGAGCAGTTTTTGTGAGGTGGTTTGAGAGCTGTAACTGTAAGTGCAAGCTAACACAGCAGTGCTTTCCTTTGATGCTGAATGCTGAGCATGATGCAGGACTAAGAAGTTGCTGGATAAATAATAGCATATGATGGTTGCAGATAATGACATTTGTGATTTTATGCAATGTGATGTGATTTATTTTGTTTCCTTCTATGTTTTTTTTCCCATGGGGGAAAGCAGGCAACTGTTTTTTCCAGTGCTGAGATGTAATCTACAAAGCTGATTCTGACGAAAAATTAGCCCATGATCTCTTGATGAATGATCAAAACAGGTAACAAAATTCAGGTTATTTTCAAAGTTGTTTCTGTGGAATGATTTAAAAATGCCGGATTTTGGACTTGTTTTTAATCTCTTATTTAAATAATGAACTAAATAAAAACCCCAATTGATTGACTTTACCTTTGTTTTCCTTTTATTATTAGTTGTTTTCCTAAAACAACAACAACAACAACAAAACAAAAAAACAAAGCAGACAAAACAACAGCAAACAAATCCACTGTAAACAATTCAATTTTTAGCTTTTACTCTGATATTCACAGGTCTGTTAGTACCTCTTGTCTCCTTGAGCTACTGCACGTAACAGTACAGTTCACATGGTATCATCTAATAGCTCTGCTTTTTCCTGGAAGTGTCAGATGTCCTGTGTGTTGGAAAAGCCCTTCCATGTGAGTGGCTTCTGTAGGTATTTATGAATGTGGAGGTAGAAGTAGACACCAGAGACAGCAAGTCAAAGGGTAAAAGTGTGTGCTGAGAGGTCATGTCTGAAAGTCTCCCAAAACCCGATAAACTCCAGAGATTAGTAATCCACAAGCATGGATAAATTAGCATGTGAGTCAGCCAAATCTGTTGAAAGCCACCAGCAAACATCAGGATCCACAGTGGGATGTGTGACTCACACCACATCTGAGACAGCGGTGGCTGCTATCTGCAGACAGGAATTAGAGGTGTATATATGTACACACCAGTTGAAACAAGGGACGGCTTGAAGCACTTTCTGAATGTTTGCCTGGAAGACCTTGTTGTATCAATACAATCTTCTGCTTCTGATGAAATGGCTGGGGTTGGCCTCCCAGCTGTTGCTCTAATCTGGTCACAACAACTTGGTGTGTTGGTGTGCACGTGACTGAGCTGTGTGAAGTAGATATACTGTGTGTAGTTCTCTGCTATTAAAGTTAACAGCTTGATTTTATAATTCATAAGAGATTTATTAACAAAAAAGTGTTGTAAATAGGAGTTGTGATCTCTGACTTCTTCCAGCTTGAAGCTCTGTCAGGGAAAGGAAAACTTTCAACATGTGCACTGAATAATCCAGAAACACAGATAAATCTGTGTAAGTTCCTCAACAATTCCTGGCAGGTAATGAGGCCAGACGCAGCCTGGAGTACTGGTCAGGGAACTTCAGCTGGCACACACAGGGTCTGTATGTCATGGGTGAGGCCTGCCTGTACTTCATATATATTCATAAAATTAATTGCATACGCTTATTTATACTAGTCAGGTTACTTTCATGGGTGGTACATTTCTTAGGTGCTCTGTGTGTGTGTGGTTGGATTTGGCAATCTGAATTTTGGATAAAAAATACGTTAAAAATCTACGATAAAGTATTAATTTTTTTTAAAAATCTTAGTTTTATATTTTATTTATATATATTTATATATTTATATGTTTATATTTATTATTATACCTGAAATATATTTGGCACAGGGTTTGCATTTTCAAACTTTAAATAATTTATTAAAATACAGGCATTTTATTAGTATTTAAAAATTTGATTATTGGATACCTAAATTGTGAGGACAAGAAGCAAGAATGATGTATTGGAAGACAGAAAGTTTTATATGAAAGGAAAGATACCATGAAGTGAAAATAGTGTTGGAATATGTATGAGAATAGACTGGAAGACATGGGCCTAAGCTGGCCACATTTGGGCAGTGGTAGATACTGTTCTCTTTTTCTCTGACTCTTACAGAGAAAACAGGAAATTTTTTTTTCTGGAAACATGGAAACAGGAATATTAGACTGGAAACAGGAATATTAGATGCCTTCTTTCTCAGTTCCCAGGTGAGTTTCAACTGTCATTGTGTTAATGCATATGAAGAAGATAATCTCTCTTCACTTTCTGGCTAGCAATAGCAGGAGTAATTAAGGCATGAGGTTTTGTACAACAAATGCTAAAAATACTGGGTCAATGAAAATAGAAGGTTTTGTTCTTTAGTGAAGACTGGCAATATGCTTGTCATGAATAATGGTGTTTTACAGAAATGAAGGATTATTATGTAAATTTGTATTTGTCAGAGCTGCAAAATGGAGACTAAGTACCAACTATGCTGGCAGTGTTATACAGACCTTTGATTATAAAAGAAAGAATTCTGTAGAGCACACCAGTGCACAAGAGACAGGCTGGTTGGAGGAAAAGCTCAAGACTTTTATTAGCTGTAAAGGCAGTTTATTCAAAGAGGTGTTCAGCCTGCTGGGAATATCTATTTCACCCTAGGCATGCTTTTACTGTGTGCTTCACATAGGGCATAGTTTTAGCGGTCCCCTGAAAATTTTAAATCTGCATGAAACATGGCACAAGCTTGCAATGACAATAGGATGGCTTTTGGGAGATCATAGAGCAGCTTTTAATATTCAAGTGCTGTGACTGTGTATTCATCAAAAGAAAAAAATCTGTGGTGAAATCATTAGCCCTAACTTTTAATGGAAAAAGTAAAACCTGTTAGTTCTTGAGATCTTTACAGAAAGATTTGCATTGACTTTGAGGCAAGGATTTTGCTCAGTAATAAAACTAGTAACTAATTCAGGCTTTACAGTTATTACTCGTTTGTGTTTTGCTCAAAGGTGATCTAGCAAAGTAGAACACATCTCTCTACAATTCTCAGTATGATGCTTATAAAGAGCCATTTATGGGTTACCCTAAAATTTCAGGGAAACCAAAAAAGATCTGTTTTGTTTGCTAAAGATTTAATTTTCCTTTTACCATTACCAGCATAAATGTAAACACCTTTTGATTAATGAATAAAGGAAAAGCTGATTTTCTTATTAGCTGTTTCTCTCTTCTTCAGTTCACCCTTTCGTGGATTAATCTAACACTAGAACCCAAAGCATCAAATGTGATATTAACTGGGGGAGGATGCTGTTTTCCTCGTATTGCTCATTTATTGTAAACTTCAATGAAAAAGCCCTTATAGAATCCAGCTCTCAAGAAAAAGCCTTTCATTGACAAAACGTCTAAGTTATTTCATGATCTTCCCCCTGACTGATCAAGCCACTGCAGGAAATTGAGCAGGGATAAAACTCCTCACAGTGAGGAAGTACTTCCCTTGCTGTGTTCACCAGCTCAAAGACATTTAATGTGCGGCAGAACAGTGAGAAAGATAATGGTGTCTAAGAAAATCAAGTTAACTTCGTAAAGGGGCTCTAGGACAATCACGGGTTGCATTGCCTTCTGTGATTGCTGCAGCTGACCTTCTCCTGGCCCTTACCTTATGCACTTCCGCCTTGAATAAAAAATATCAGCTGCATACATATTCAAGAGAAAGGGTTAAATGTTTGTGCTACATTTTTTTTATTACCTAATAGAAAATCTTCATAACCTACTTGAGACATAAGGGTCTAATATACTGTACTCATTAGAAGCAGAAAAAACATATTTTTTCAACATTTGTTTCTGAATTCAAGTTCCTTGTCTTCCGTGCTTGCAGGTTGAGTGTGCTAGTCCAAGAAATACATGATGAGCACAAGGGAGGAAGAAGAGAACCGTTGACACCAAAATCACTGATTTGTTCCCTTCTCTTTGTTCTAGACCAAGCTTCATATCTAGAGAAATAATTTCTCTTCTGTCTTCCTTTGCAAATCAGATTCATACACGAAGCATTCTTTACTGATGCTCTTATCCTATCAGCTTCTCATCTGTAAGTTTGTGGTCCCCAAGACAGATGAGGATATCGGTGCTGTGCATGTTGTTATGAATCAAAAGAACTTAAGGTTTGTAGGGGGTTAACCTGCTTTTACTAAAGGGAGGTGTTGTGGCAAATGTATGTTGGGTTTTTCCCATATATTTCCCACATGGTTGTGCTTTGATACTGGATACAAGCCCATGAAGAGCTAGGAAGGGTGGGAATTTGGTGACTTGATGATTTTTAATTTCTTCTGCTGTTGTGTGGGTCTGCAAAAAGAGAAAATCTCAGCAGAGCATGCTGGTCAGTAGCAAGGTGAAGTTTGGATAGGGTGAGGGGGCCCTTCCAAGTCTTGTGCTACCTGCTTGTCTGAGTTAAATGACACCTAACCTTGGTCAGGCCTGGAAGGACACTTTTTGTTCAAAAAAAGAAAAAAATGTACATGGTGATAAGACCATTTCCTTTCTCACAGCGTCTCCTTTAATGTCAGCCCTGAAATATGAAGTCATTAGGGGATATTAAAACAGTGCTGACAAACTAATTAACAAAAGACATTACGCCGGATGGGCTCAATTTATCCTTTTTAATGGTTCTTATAAATGGGTGCCGCCAATTAAAATTAATAAAGATTTACCAGCGATTGCCCAGCATACACTGTTAAGAAGCTTCACTGAAGGTCGCCTTAAAGTCAGCCTTGTCAAAGCTGCAAGTTCAGCTCCCAGTACTAAGCCATGCTGAGTTACTTTCGGTTATGTTTTCCCAGGCAGTTTCTCTTTCTTTACATTTGGCTGAAGTTTATATGTTTCTGTCTCTGCCTCTCTAAAACCTCATCCATCTGTTGGCTCTATTAAAAAATATCCCCCCATGCACTATTAGATTTGTCACAGTTTTACAAAGAAGAATCTCAACAGACAGTATAATGAGAACTTTGTTCTTTCCAAAAAATCTGTCTGTTATGAAGAAATTCTTGACATATAGCTTTCTTTTTAAATGCCCCTTTATTTTATTGCTGTCGAATTAAAGTACAACAGTGTCCCTGCTTAGGGGCAGAGTACAGGTGATCAAGAGTGCCCTGTGTGGCTGTAGCTTTGTTCAGCCTGAACCAGACTGAATTCTGCCAGGCCATGCTGTTATGGCTGCTGCCTTCCACCATGTTTGTTGCTCATGTTATGTGAACAAGTAAGTTTAGGCGTTTATCCCTATACGTGGACAACAGAGAGAGAGAGCCTTCATGTTGAAAGAATTTCATCCAGCTATGTGGGAAATTAAAACTCTAGCCTTTGATTGGACATTAAAAATATGAATTAGAATTACATCAAAGAAGAAGCCTGTTAATACTGCAGTGGTTAAGAATTGATGACAAATAGTAACT